CATGGTACAATGATAGGTTGCCACCTGTGCAATAAATCCATCTGTGAACTTTCCTTGCTACTAAATATTCTACGGTCAACTGTTAGTGGTATTATAACAAAATGGAAGCAACTGGGAACAACAGCAACTCAGCCACCAAGTGGTAGGCCATGTAAAATGACAGAGCAGGGTCAGCGCATGCTGGAGCGCATAGTGCAAAGAAGTCACCAACTGTCTGCAGAGTCAATAGCTAAAGACCTCCAAACTTTGTGTGGCCTTCAGATTAGCACAACAACAGTGCGTAGAGAGCTTCATGGAATGGGTTTCCATGACCGAGCAGCTGCATCCAAGCCTTACATCACCAAGTGCAATGCAGAGCGTTGAATGCAGTGGTGTAAAGCAGGCCACCACTGGATTCTAAAGCAGTGGAGACGTGTTCTCTGGAGTGATGAATGGACGTGTCTGGGTTTGGTGGTTGCCAGGAGGAACGGTACTTGCCTGACTGCATTGTGCCAAGTGTAAATTTTGGTGAAGGGGGGGTTATGTTGTGGGGTTGTTTTTCCGGGCTTGGGCATAGCCCCTTAGTTCCAGTGAAGGGAACTCTTAAGGTGTTTGCATACCAAGACATTTTGGACAATTTCATGTTCCCAACTTTGTATAAACAATTTGGGGATGGCCCCTTCTTGTTCCAACATGACTGCGCATCAGTGCACAAAGCGAGGTCTGTAAAGACATGGATGACGAAGGTGAGGTGGAGGAACTTGACTCACCTGCACAAAGTCCTGACGATAAACCGAGAGGACACTTTTGGGATAAATACGGCAGAGACTGCGTACCAGGCTTTCTTGTCCAACATCAGTGCTTGACCTCACAAATGCGCTCCTGGAAGAATGGTCAAACATTCCCATAGACACACTCCTAAACCTTGTGGATAGCCTTCCCAGAAGAGTTGAAGCTCTTATATCTGTAAACGGTGGGCCAACTCAATATTGAACCCCACGGACTAAGACTGGGATAACATTAAAGTTCATGTGCGTATAAAGGCAGGCATCCCAATATTTTGGCAATATAGTGTATTTTTAGTCCACTACGCTCTGGTTACATGATCCTCTGTGAATGAGTGGTGGTGCAGGGGAGAGAGCCACAAAAGCTGGGGATTTCGGGAGCCGTGACGTCACTCATAGTCTCCTATGTCCCTGCCATTGTCAGCACTCCCACCTGTCCCCTGCAACTGCCGCTCACTTTAGCTGTGGGATCACGTGACCAGAGAAGAGAGAGGACTGAACATTGGTAGGTGTACAGATCTTTTGTTTACACAGGGTAGGCAGGATTGGTAGCAGGAGGGGGATAGGGGACATTTTTAAGCATAGCTAGTGTTAGGCTGGGACCTTTAATTTGTGGTAATCAGTCAATTCATGGAAGAATAAGTTGGGATAGGACCTTGTTGGACACTTTCCTACTGTCCTTGCCTTCATTGAGGAGATTTCACCTCAATTTCTGTTGCAGATAAAACAGAGGAAGTGCAAGTAAAGCTTGCCCAACAGGTGAAATCCCTTCTCTGATACCTCTCATCACTGTTTGGGTGTCCCCATTTGGAAATTTCCCTTTACTTCTTGCTCCCTTCATAAAGGCCAAATTTAACTTTTTCTTTCATGTTTTCTCTCATTAACCATCATTACCACTTCCAGTCCAGAGGCTGTTCATATATGGCCTTAGGAGCAAGTAGTTATATAAGGATTATAGCTGCAGCCATAATCCAGGTATCATTTTTTTAGCCAGTGGTCAGCTTTACTGTAAAATTGATCCAAGTGGCTTTACAGCACTTGGAAGGGGCCCTCCCACCTGCCACTTTTCCTGGGTTCTCCATGTAAGCGGTCTGGTCTGATACCCATAGAGGAGAAGGAGGAACATCCTTTTACCATTCTCCTCTGTGACTAATGAAGCTGGAAGTGATGAGGATTTTGTCACTTCTAGTTTTAGTGCTGTGTTTCCCTGGCCAGTACAGCCAGGGAAGCATTTGATCAAACCGATCTGTGTTTGATCAAATGCTTTGAAGAGCAGAGGAGGGATCATGGATCTACTAGATCACTGATCTCTTCATAAAGAGTACCTGTTACCACCCAAAGCTGTTACAAGGGGTGTGTTCACCTCTTGTGATAACAATAAATTTAAAGTAAAAAAAAAAAAAAATTCAACCCCAATGTTCATATAGGTCTGGCACAGTGATTGCAGCACACATTGGAGGCATAGCTGTAAATGTCCAAGTGAGAGCAATAATTCTAGCACCAGAGCCTACATTTAACTCTAAACTGCTAATCTGTAAAAGCTTTTAAAGTGTCACCTATGGACCATTTAAGGTATCGTAGTTGCCAGTTTACCGGTGTTTGCAATTTTAAATCTTCACAGGTTTGGTATCTGTTTACTATTCACAACGTCATCATTTTATATTTGACCACAAATTGGATATTATATTGTGTTTGCGTGCTCTAAAATTCATTTAGTTGTATTTTTTACTGAAATGTTGTGCTTGATAGATGGCTACATAGGTATTGCTTGAGAAAAAAGTGCAACAGCCACATATTACCCAGGGCCTCTGCTTCAGAAAATATGTTTAGGGGTTCTAAGTAATTATCTAGCAAAAAAAAAAAAAATACAGTTTTTTTTTACATATATGTGAAAATTTTCAAAATTTCCCAGTAGGCAAGCAGTTAATTTGGAAGTATGCATACTTCTTTAGCATATATTATTATAGTGAACTCCAGAAAAAGTGTAAAATGCCCTTTTAATTTAATATAGGCAACAAGTCAGTTTATGTCCAGTTACTGTAGCTGTATAGTTTTGCAAGATGTCAAACTGTCATGTTTTTTTGCAGATAAGAAAATACAATATGTAAAATACATTTTTGTAAATAAAAGATTTTAGACAAGTGATTAAAAAAAAATTGGTATGTAAACCTAAAAGAAACATTAAAACAAAAATTGATGAGAAACCATTATAGCTGCCCTTCCGAACTATCCATTGGCAAAAATCACTGTTTGGTATCTCCAGAAAAATAAGAATCATCCATTGCATGCTCATGACTAGTTGACTTTACCTTCTCAATATTGATTCATCAGCACTTGTCTTGCAAAGTTGCATTGTATCCATACAGTGCACTCTTGACTGTTGCCTTTAGTCCAACTTGATTACACTAGATGGCACATGGCAGTCACCTCCTGCCTGAGCACTTTTTTATGGCTTCCTCTCCAATACTGCTAAGAGGGTTTTTTTGGTCATTTGGCATTTAGTGTTCAAAGCTTTCTGGACCCTAATGTAAAACATTTTTGTTGTGCATCCACATAAACAAGAAAAACACTGCATGAAATTGGCAGAAACCTCTTGCAGTTGTCAATAAGCCACTATTCATGCCCTCTTTTAAACATTTGAATTAAACTCTTTCATGCATTGAATTAAAAAACTAACCTGTTTTTGACGGTTGCAAGTTGCTTTTGTAGCAGATTTTGTTTTGTTGGTGTACCCAAAAGTAGCAAGTCTGGTAAACCACTGCACAGGACTTTGTGCATAGCGGGTGTGTAACTATCTATTTAAATGATCCCACATTAAAATAGTAGCACAAATTCTAATAATGCTTAACTAAGGATGAAAAACAAAGCCATTGTTTTTCCCAACATAGTCTACCATGTTTCCATTAGTATATCTATAGTTCCTTCCTGTCATTTTCTCTAGAAAATGATTGATCCTTGCATGTTTTCTGCTTCCCTGTTCCCCAGGAACTTGTCTTATGCAGGCCATAGACGGGTCGAAAACCGGCCGTTTTTTTTATATATATAAAAAACCCCAAAAATCGGTTGTTCGATCGGCTGACGTTACCACCAACGGTAAAAAAAAATCGGCCGATTTTCGTCCCGTCTACAGCCGGCATTTAATTACTTCTGCCCCTTGCAGAGAGCTCCGCTATTATCTTTGACATGAAAAAGAATTGCGGTTGCAACAATGTATCCATTTGTATCCATTTCGGATACAGATGTTTTTATTTGGATACAAATAGATAAATTGTTGCAACCGCAATACTTTTTCATGTCAAATATAATAACAGACTGGAATTCTTTTTCTTCCTCCTGCAGGTCACGGCTCATGCGCAGATTTTTTTATCTTTAAAACGATCGGCCGATCTTTCCCATCACTGCCGTTAAAAAAAAAAAAAAAAAAAAAAAAAAAAAAAAGTGCCAAAACCCCAAAAAACGGCCAACCAATTAACCCACTAACAGTGCAAAAATCTGCCGATTTTTTTTTTTTTTTTTTTTTTTTTTTTTTCTTTTCGGACGATTTTCGACCTGTCTATGGCCTGCATTAGTTCTGAAATGAAAACTGTACTGAGAAAGTGGGTAGTTTGTCTTTGGCATAACCCCCCCCCCCCCTTCCTTACTGAACACCCCTGTTGTGTTTTCTTTAAGTATAAGACAATTATTTTAATAATTTTGTTTATTTGCTACCTACAGTGTGGGAGCACATTTGTTACATGTGGCCTACAGTTGCCTATAATTGGTTAGATGTCTCATTGAGGATTGTTGGCATGTGTGTGAGCTTGTACTAAACACAAGGCTCTTTCAAGACTTTTTAGCCAGGTTGAGGGGCTAGATTAGAGTGCACGTGCTGCTTTCAGCAAACAGTAAAAAAACACCTTCAGGACCTGTGAATCTTAGTAATTGATTGCAAGAGTGTATTAGACCATCTACATTTTTAGCAGCTTGATATTGCAGGCAAACAGATAAATTACATAGTGTTGCATTCAGTTTTCCCATCTTATTTTTTCTGCTCATTTTACCAAACAAAGTTTAAAGCATTTATTGTACAATATTCTGCAAATTTCTTTCTGTTGGAATTATAAAATATTCACACTGGTTCATGAAATGTTACATTGTAGGGCTGTTTAACAAATGTTTAGCATTTTTGAGCAATTTCTAATACATCTTATGTGACCTAATTCATGTTCAATTCACAAATCTTGGTGTTTTTCTTAGAAAAAATTGATGTTGATGCCCGTCTATCAGAACTATGTGAAGATGTTAAGGTATGTGTATAAAAAGTATTTTTCCTTCGTGTATAGGGAGGATGTTTTTTTATTAGGGATAAATGTTTTATTGGGGATTTATGATTTATTTGATTAAAAGTGGATAAAAATCCTAACACTAAAATTCTTAAAAAGTACCCTCCTCCTTCCTTTCCTGCATACACTTTATTAAGAAAAAAAAAATTTCTTGCCTATTTTTAATCCACTTTGGTCCAGTCACATGATTCTGCAGCTCCGGCTTCTCTGCGTCACTGAGCAGCTGCTGCAGGGAAGAGGAGGGAGTGCTGACAACGGTTGGAAAGCATTGGAACTGGAGCTGCAGGATCACATGACTGGACCAGACTATATTAAAAAAGAACAGTTAGTACTATAGTTAGCACACACTTTAAGTGTGAATTTGGAATGTTCATATAAAACAAGGTTTACTTGATTTGTCCTGATAAACTACCTTTCTGCTAAACATTTAATTGTATTTGTAGCTTCACAAATATTTTTTTTTTTTGTTTCACTAGAAAATGGATAATCCTGATGAACTGGCTGAGCTGATTAACATGAACCTTGCTCAGCTTTGTTCCCTGCTAATGGCTCTTTGGGGACAGTTTCTTGAAGTTATTGTCCTGCAAGATGAAATTACAGCAATTGTAGCTCAAGAACATCATATACTAAGAGTAAGTAAAAGATAGTCTTTCGATTAAAAGAACTGAATATCAGTGGCCAGTACTGATTTTACTGAACACTACAGGTTGTTTAGTCCAGCTTTTAATGTACAGAGCAGGTTATTTGTCTCAGCTTTAAATGAACACCGCAGGTTATGCGGCCCAGCATTTGAGTGCCCGGCTCTCTAATAGTCCTGGCCTTTCATGATTTTTCAGTTTCACTGACTAACCTGGGGTTGTTACTTGATCAATGGCTTGCCTGACCATCTTGATGATGAATTGTGGAGCAACCTTTTAGATGTAATATTGTTTTTTTTTTTTTTTTATTTCTCTGGGAAAAACAAGAATGTCATTTTTACTAAAGGCTCAGGATCTTACTGTTCATTATACAGTACTGATAATTTAAGTTTATTAATGGGAGGAATAGTGATACTAGTGTTAACAAATCTATATTTATGCTGTGCAGAGTTTTAGTTCTTTCCTGCTGTATTTTTTAGGTGCGCAGATTTGCAGAAGCGTTCTTTTGCCTTGAGCATCCCAGACAAGCAGCCCTGGCATACCAAGAATTGCAGTAAGCATGAAAACCTGCGTGTGATAACTTGAAAAACATTGTTAAGCATGCCAACCTTAAATCAGATTTATAAATGTTCAAAAGGTGTACAGCAATTTTCACAGGAATGCTATGTTTAACATACATTCATGAAATTGCATCTCTGCATTGCAGTATTTTAATCCATTCTCTTTTAAAAAACAAAACAAAAAAAAAACAAGTGGTTGTTTATACTCTACCTTCATTCACTAATGATATCTCCCTCCTGGCCTCATCAGCAAAACCATTACAAGTCCTCATACGTACTTTTGATTCTATTTAGCTGCACAGACTGGCAGAGCCTTTTCAGCCTGTTTTTTTGAAATTCCAGAAAGATATATGTGGAGTGAGATTAGGACCTGTCAAAAATATTTTGCCTGTCCCTGCCTGCAGTTTGGTACATGTACCAAAGGACTGTTTTTAACGTATGCATATTTTTTGTATAGCAGGACCTCCTGTCCTCTTTGATTGAAATTCAAACTGAATGGTTTATGGGCTGTAGTGGGCATACTATGCAGCTTCAAGCTGAGCAGTATCAGCAGTGATATTTTTTTTTTCAGATTTGAATAGAGCTGGGAAAAGGTTGAATATTATGTTAAGTTTTTATTGCTTTCTTTGTCCCTGCTTATGAGGTTCACCCCTATTTCTTTATCGTACATCAAAGGACACAGAGCAGGCCATAAAATTGACTATGTGGGTTATATGCAACCTATAGGTGAATGGACATTGGCCGACCAATCAGAGAGGAAGTCCTCCCCTATATAACCCCTCCTCCACAGGAAGTACTTCAGTTTTTTTGCGCCAGTGTCTGTAAGGTGGTTGGTCACTGAAGTGTTTTATGTGCTTTTGTAATGCTCTTCCAATGTAGAATCAAGGACTTTAATTGGATCCATTCGAAAAGTTGTTAGCCAAAATGGATGGTACCCGAGCTTGGCTGGATAAGGCGAAGAGTCCTTGGGGTTTTGCCTGTAATGCCGCCTTACGGCACTGTACCCTGCATAACTGAACCCTGAGCAGTATAATACTGACCAAGGCAGTTTCCGATGGGGTACTGTACAGGTCTGAGGCAGTAGCCCCAAATTATGTGGATAGAGTCCTTAAAGGTCTGCATGACAAAGCCCCCCGTGATGGGTGAAGTTTGGACTCCTGTTATGATTCAGGGTCCTGCGTTGGGAATGGTAAGTTTACATTTGCAGTATTTCTTTGAAAAATCTGACCGTTCGGTCATTCCCCTGGTGGCCACTGGGTGCAGTGTGCTGTTCTGGCCAGGCCATGCTGTGTGCATCTCTGAAGGAGTATTGGGCTGCAGTCTCTCCGCCAGCCACTAGAGATCTCTATAGCCTGCACTGGCGCAGTGAGGCAGGAAGTAGATGGGTGGCCATTTTAGCTTATGTTTGTTATCTCATGTGGTTGGTGGTTTGTGAGGCACCTGAGAGGTAGCAGAGCAGTCTATGGCTGGATGATGGTGTGTGTGTGTGTATTTCCTTTGGGGGAGTTGCATGGCCAGAAAGGACATGATTATACACTGCATTAGCCTGCATAATCCCAGGGGGGCTTGTACAACTATTTTTTGATACCCCCCCCCCCCCCGAAGGGTATTAGTGCACTTAAAGGAGTTGAGTCTCCAGATTTTATCTGCAGGAGCATATATTTTAGCTGCACTTAAGCAGCATGTAGGCTGCATTCAGGCTGTGTTCACACATTCATATGTGTTTGCCTAGCATGGAACCAAGTGCGTTTAATTTTGATGCAATTCTTTGAAACCATATGCTTCTAGAAAGTGGGACAGTTGCAGCATTGTATTACATTATTGCATGCATACCTGATGCCTTGGCCGCATCCGTACATGCGTACCTGATGCCTGGGTTGCATCCTTACATGTGTATCTGATGCTTGGGTGACATCCGTACATGCATACCTGATGCCGGTGTGGCATCCGTACATGCGTAACTGATGCCTGGGCTGCATCTGTACATGGGTGCCTGGCCGTGTACATGCTGGGCCTGGGCCGCATCTGTACATGCGTACCTGATGCCTGGGCCGCATCTGTACATGCGTACCTGATGCCTGGGCCGCATCTGTACATGCGTACCTGATGCCTGGGCCGCATCTGTACATGCGTACCTGATGCCTGGGCCGCATCTGTACATGCGTACCTGATGCCTGGGCCGCATCTGTACATACCTGATGCCTGGGCCGAATCTGTACATGCGTAGCTGATGCCTGGGCCGCATCTGTACATGCGTAGCTGATGCCTGCTGTACATGTGTAGCTGATGCCTGTACATGCGTACCTGATGCCTGTACATGCGTACCTGATGCCTATACATGCGTACCTGATGCCTGGGCCGCGTTCGGACATGCGTACCTGATGCCTGGGCCGCGTTCGGACATGCGTACCTGATGCCTGGGCCGCTATCGGACAAGCGTACTTAAATGCATACTAACATAGACTGCATACCTACACTTGCATGAACTGCATAAATTGCATACTTACATGCCTAAGTACCTAGCTGCATAGCTGCATGTTTGCTTGCCTGTGCGATCACATAACTGTAGACCAAGATGGACATATATCCCTGTGGAACTGCAAAGTTAAGTGACAATATAGTTGCTGCCTTTTTTTTTACTTAAAGGATCCCAAAAGAGGTAGCCAGCAGAAAGGCAGATGTACCGCCCTTGGGATTTGTGGGGGGGGGAGTAAATCAAGCGGTGTCCGCATTTCATGATAAACCAGTGGTGTCAGGGGTATCTGGGCCACTGTGGTTGTTTGACATTGCAGCTATTCCTGGTGGCGGAGCTGCAGTGGACTACAGCAGCATTACCCTGTATGCTCCTGATCACATCTGAACTCGGAATTTAATCAGGGTCAAACCCTGGTTACTACTTGGAGGGGAGACTGCCTGTGGTATACCAGTTGTTGTAAGCTTTTCCCCTACAGAGTCTGTGATGGCTGTGTTTTGAGAATTATCTCAGGAAGAGGATGCTAGGGCAGTCTGAGGTGATTTGAGACACTCAACAGATTTGCAGGCCCTAAACCAAACGGGTGTGAGGTCTATCCTAGATCTTAAGGCACTAGACATAAGTCTAGGCCTCCTTCTGTTTTGGATGGGATCGGTCTGATCAATGGTGGCTGCTCTGCAAGAGATAGATTTCGGGTGTTGATAGTTCTTAATGACGCATATCTTCCTGTGCCAATATTTTAGGCTTATCAGGGGTTCTGTGGTTGCTATAGAGAATCACCATTTTGTTGTTGTGGGTCACTGCTCTTTTGGACTGGCCATAGCTCTCCGAGTGTTTGCAATGCTCCTAGCCCTGGTGATGGGCTTTCTGAGGACAATGAGTGGTATCAGTCTCATAATACCTTTAATATTCCTTTGCTTGGGGAGTAGTCTGTTTCAAGTTCAAAGCAAAATATAAGAAGCAATAAGTATCCATTGGTACATCTCTGCATCAGGAAATATCTACGGTGTCGCCCTCCCTCAGATTTCAATATTGCTTTGGGAAATCCCACATAGTCATGAATAATAGCCTGTTCTGTGTCCCGTGATGTACAATAAATAAAAGTAGATTTTTTTTCTACATACTTACCTGTAAAATCCATTTCTTGGAGTACATCAGAGGTCCCACCCCTCTTTCTGGAATATCATTGCTTGCTACAAAAACTGAAGTACTTCCTGTGTAGGAGGGGTTATGTAGAGGAGGACTTCCTCTCTGATTGGTCGGCCAGTGTCCATTCACCTATAGCTGACATATAACCCACATACAGTCAGCTCCATAAATATTGGGACATCGACACAATTCTAACATTTTTGGCTCTATACACCACCACAATGGATTTGAAATGAAACGAACAAGATGTGCTTTAACTGCAGACTGTCAGCTTTAATTTGAGGGTATTTACATCCAAATCAGGTGAACGGTGTAGGAATTACAACAGTTTGCATATGTGCCTCCCACTTGTTAAGGGACCAAAAGTAATGGGACAGAATAATAATCATAAATCAAACTTTCACTTTTTAATACTTGGTTGCAAATCCTTTGCAGTCAATTTCAGCCTGAAGTCTGGAACGCATAGACATCACCAGACACTGGGTTTCATCCCTGGTGATGCTCTGCCAGGCCTCTACTGCAACTGTCTTCAGTTCCTGCTTGTTCTTGGGGCATTTTCCCTTCAGTTTTGTATTCAGCAAGTGAAATGCATGCTCAATCGGATTCAGGTCAGGTGATTGACTTGGCCATTGCATAACATTCCACTTCTTTCCCTTAAAAAAAATCATTGGTTGCTTTTGCAGTATGCTTTGGGTCATTGTCCATCTGCACTGTGAAGCGGCGTCCAATGAGTTCTGAAGCATTTGGCTGAATATGAGCAGATAATATTGCCCAAAACACTTCAGAATTAATCCTGCTGCTTTTGTCAGCAGTCACATCATCAATAAATACAAGAGAACCAGTTCCATTGGCAGCCATACATGCCCACGCCATGACACTACCACCACCATGCTTCACTGATGAGGTGGTATGCTTAGGATCATGAGCAGTTCCTTTCCTTCTCCATACTCTTCTCTTCCCATCACTCTGGTACAAGTTGATCTTGGTCTCATCTGTCCATAGGATGTTGTTCCAGAACTGTGAAGGCTTTTTTAGATGTCGTTTGGCAAACTCTAATCTGGCCTTCCTGTTTTTGAGGCTCACCAATGGTTTACATCTTGTGGTGAACCCTCTGTATTCACTCTGGTGAAGTCTTCTCTTGATTGTTGTCTTTGACACACATACACCTACCTCCTGGAGAGTGTTCTTGATCTGGCCAACTGTTGTGACGGGTGTTTTCTTCACCAGGGAAAGAATTCTTCGGTCATCCACCACAGTTGTTTTCCGTGGTCCTCCGGGTCTTTTGGTATTGCTGAGCTCACCGGTGCGTTCCTTCTTTTTAAGAATGTTCCAAATAGTTGTTTTGGCCACGCCTAATGTTTTTTCTATCTCTCTGATGGGTTTGTTTTGATTTTTTCAGCCTAATGATGGCTTGCTTCACTAATAGTGACAGCTCTTTGGATCTCATTTTGAGAGTTGACAGCAACAGATTCCAAATGCAAATAGCACACTTGAAATGAACTCTGGACCTTTTATCTGCTCATTGTAATTGGGATAATGAGGGAATACACACACCTGGCCATGGAACAGCTGAGAAGCCAATTGTCCCATTACTTTTGGTCCCTTAACAAGTGGGAGGCACATATGCAAACTGTTGTAATTCCTACACCGTTCACCTGATTTGGATGTAAATACCCTCAAATTAAAGCTGACAGTCTGCAGTTAAAGCACATCTTGTTCTTTTCATTTCAAATCCATTGTGGTGGTGTATAGAGCCAAAAATGTTAGAATTGTGTCGATGTCCCAATATTTATGGACCTGACTGTAGTCATGAATAGCCTGCTCTGTGTCTTATGATGTACTCCAAGAAATGGATTTTACAGGTAAGTATGTAGAAAAAAAAAAAATCCCGTTTTTGTCCTGGCGACCACTGTAATTGAGGCAGGAAGTGAAGGAAGTCTAGATATTTAGAGTTAATACCAGAACAAACATCAAAATATAACCTTCTAACAGGGCATACGTTCTGATGACAACTGTCTAAGATGGAATACATATTATTTTTGAGAGATTTTCTGTCTAGGAAAGGAAGCGAATGGAAATAAGGAAAATCACCCAGCACACACACACACTAACACAATCGGGATTTAAAGGATAAGTACACCTTTGTACATTTTTAAAAGCAGTAAGCTGCAGCACATATATATGAGCTAGTCACATAGGGAATGCATGGGACTGCTAGTTGAAATTGATTTTACTGTAGAAAAAACAGACAAGTGAATATGGCTCTAATTTGTTTCAGAGCTGCTCCTTCATGAGAACTAAACCAGGTTGCACACTACATGCTGCTTTGCTAGTAAAGGCTACTTTGCGGTAAAGCAAGGTGTTGGCGAACCTTGTAGTAATGCACGTGTAATAAATAAATGTTACATATACAAACTACTTAACAGTTGTATGAAAATAGTACAGGGTATAGAGTGTCACAAACATGCATACAACACATGTGCACACGCTATCTAGCCTTCCTAGAAAAAAAAAATCACTTGGCTTAGGTTATAGCTGGTCCCCCATTTCTGTAGCAAACAGGACTCAAGGCATTATTATTATTATACAGTATTTATAAAGCGCCAATGGTTCGCTCAGCACTGTACATTACAAAGGGGGACAGAACAATAACAATACAATACAATGCAAAACATGAGGGGATCGAGGGCCCTGCTCTTTCGAGCTTACAATCTAGGAGGGAGGGGATGGTGGCACAGGAGGAGATAGCTGTGGGGGATGGAGTGGTAGGACGAGTGGAGGAGGTCGGCAAGTTAGCAGGGGGTGGGGTAGGCTTCCCTGAAGAGATGGGTTTTCAGGGTGCGCCTAAAGGAGAGGAGAGTAGGTGATAATCTGATGGGTTGGGGCAGGGAGTTCCAGAGGATGGGTGACACCCTGGAGAAGTCCTGGAGGCGGGCATGGGAGGAGGAGACCAGGGAACTAGAGAGAAGGAGGTTTAGTGAGGAGCGGAGTGTGCGTGCTGGGTGGTACTTGGATATTAGGTCAGTGATGTAGTACGGGGCAGTATGGTGGACAGCTTTGTACGTCAGTGTTAGGGTTTTGAATTTGATCCGTTGCGCAATCGGAAGCCAGTGGAGGGATTGGCAGAGGGGGGTGGCGGAAATAGAGCGGTTGGAAAGGTGAATGAGTCTGGCAGCCGTATTCAGGATCGACTGAAGCGGGGATAGCCAGCGGCAAGGCAGGCCAGTAAGGAGGGAGTTGCAGTAGTTGAGTCGTGAGATTTGCAGGAAAATGGATTCTTGATATTTATCTCTTGTAATGTGGCTTCTGGTGTTATCCCCTCTGGCAGAGTCTTCCTTGGTCTTGTGCAGTCCCCTCTGGAAGAGCCCTTTTTTTCTCTTTTTTTATTTAGAATGGTTTGGTAGCCAATTCCACATGGGTTTATCACTTTGTACCTTTTCATTTCTAATTCATTTTCTATGAGAGAAGCATTTTCCAACACCAAATTCCAGATGTACATACCATGGGTCCAATATGTTAAAATATCAAGCAATTGTTAATACTTATTGACATGGCTTTGGGTCCAGAAAAAGCTCCTCTAGAACAGTATCTAAAACCATGTGCATTGCCCAGATGTACAACAAAAGTATCTACTGTATTTCCCCCATTGTATTTGAAAACAACAAAACTAGTCATGTGCAAACCTTGTTTATGTAAGTCTGAAACATAAAATCACATAACCTATAACGCACATGCTAATATTAGTTGAAGTCAAATTATGACCCTGACTTGCGCATTGCTGCATGCGTTGCATTGTGGTGTGTAAGGGGTGCTGTACCTCTCGTCTTGCTATTGGGTTTATCAGTGTTTATCACCCAGGTTTGAAGGTCTGTGGGGCATTTTTTTTTTCTCTGAATCCCTGTTGTTCCATGACTCACCCCAAGGTTGTTGCATGATACATGATGTTCAAGATTGAATGTTTATTCCCACATCGGTACTGGTGTAGGTGCCCAGATTTTGTTTCTTATTGTTAATTGGTCCTATTGTTTTTGCTCCCCACAGTGCCCAAAGCCACCTTCAGATGTCAACAGCGATAAAGAATTCCTCCTACTTCAGTTCTCTTCCTCCTCTCCCTCTAGAGTGCAGTGAGCTGGATGGGGACTTTAACTCATTACCTATTATTTTTGAAGATAGGTATTTAGATTACATTACGGAAGGTAAGTACAGATTAAAACCGTTTAGTCAGTTTTTCTTTTTATATATATATATATATATATATATATATATATATATATATAAATATTTTTGGGTTGGTTAAACAAAATATTATAACTAAAATGGTGCATTTACTATAAAAGGGATTTCAGTTTTTGCTAGACACTGGAGACTAAAACCGCTTATAAACTTCAGAAGGCAGTCTAATACACAGGAACAATTTTCTGCCCTTAGACACATTTGTCTTAAAGCAGCTTTGTTTATGCCTGTGGATGCAGGTGTATGGGGCTTCCATATGCATTTTATAGGCGGTTCAAGTGCAAGGCTAGATTATCTCAGGGATAACTGTAGCAATTGTACAAGGTTTTCTATCAGTCCCAGTCTGTCTGCAGCTGTTTATTGATATATAAATTTGCTGGACATGAACAGTATACAGATGCCTATTGAGCACCTAACTACTAGTTATAGCTTTCTTGGATTTACTGCACTAGGGTGTTTTTCTAGACTACTGATCAATTTATTTCAGTCATAAACTAGAGTGACTGGCGATACCAGACAAATGACATACAGTATATCCTTTAGTTATACAAAATAGAGCTACTTGTTTTCTCCATTTTAGAGGGAGACGATAAATGAAAATTGAAATAAATTGAAAATCGTGATTGCCATATATTTCTTTTTTTTTTTTTATCATAGGTATGCATAGATTATGTGGGTTAATTTATGCCAGGGTTCCATGGAACCCTATGGTTCTGCGAGAGGTTACCAGTGGTTCCTTGAGCAATGAGCAATTTCTGCCTCTCAGATAAGTTCCCACTGACACCATTGATCTTTTTGGCTATTAAGGGGGTAATTCTTCCGAATGACCACAAGTGTAATGAGCATTCTTCCCACTGACCATCACACTAATGGATCATGAGTTGTAGATATAGTAATTTTTTAGGAGGGGTTGTCTGAGACTGGAAAGTTATTTCTAGGGTTCCTCCGTGTTGAAGAGGTTGGAAGTGGCTGATTTTTGCAGTAAATAGAATAGTATTACCAATTGTAATACTTTATTTCTCCTTAGTGTGTTTTGTACTTTTATGCCAAAAGGACTGGACTATGTTGTTTTTTTTTTTTTTTTTTTTTTTGTGCTATTAAAAGCCTTTCTTTTGCATTTGACATTGCAGATTTGGATGGACCTTGGTTGGGAATTCAGAACTTGCAAAGATCAGAATCTAGCAAACCTGAGAAACTTGACAATGAGGAGGGATACGTTTGTGCACCTGGTAGCCCAGAACTAAAAGTCAGAGCAGAAAGTGTATCTGCTTCATCTTGGTGTACTGAAAGTGAAAAGCCTCTTACAAAGACCAAAAAAAAATGACGATGATAATAAATCTAAAACAAAAGTAAATAAACTTATGCGGACAATGAAAACTGATAACCCAAAAAAGATAGTAAAGCAAAATTCTAAGGACTCTGTGGTTTTAGTAAGCTACAAATGTTTAAAAGCTGCTACAGCAGAGGCTATGTCTAAATCATTTGAAGGCAGGCCTTCACATAGCCACAAAGATGGACATAACCTTCATCCAGGGTTTCTAGCAAGTGAGACAAAGTCATCTGGATTGCAAGCTTGGCAGAAGCGACATAACTCTCTCCCATCTACTACAGTGACAACAAAGCCACCATCTACAAGTAGTGACAGTACTGACAGAAGCCATGGCAGTACTTGGGATTCTGGCAATTTAGCATCTTTTTCTGCTTCCACCAATTCAGGTACACTTGGCACACAACAAGCGGTTACTGGATGTACATATGTGGACAATGTGTTACCAGGAGTAGAGAAGTGCCGCTCTGGTCACTCCACAGTACCCTCAGGTCTGAGGACAATAGAGGTTAAGCCAAGTAACAAAAACTCATATGAAGGGGAAAAAGTAACTGTTATTTTTAGCTCTAAGTCAGAGGGTGCTAAAAATATGGCTTTTAAGGACAGCATACAGGGGCAGGACTTATCTGCTTTAACTGGGCCTCCAACCCCATCACAAGAGACAGATTCTGTATTTGATAAAGAGGTTGCTCTGGAAAGTAATCTAAAACTGCCTGGAAATGAGGATCCTCTGACCAGACCCAAAAACAACCAGCTACATAGTGGCAGTAAAGAGGTCCACATTATAGTAAGTGGAGACACAATAAAGCTGCCTGATCTCAGCATCACCTGTGCATCTTCAAGATTTTCCGACTCTGGTGTGGAAAGTGAACCCAGTTCTTTTGCAACCCATCCAAATCCAGAACTCTGCTTGGAAAATGTGACTGAGCATGATCCTGTGTCAAATGACAAGGTATTTTCTCCTCTTTTGCTGAAACCAGAATCTAACTTAAAAGCCACCATTGAAAGCCACTGCACAGAAAGCACAAGTGCACTCAGTGAAATCCAGTCATCTTTGACATCCATAAATTCTTTACCATCTGATGATGATGAACTTTCCCCAGATGAAAGTTCCAAGATTTCTGTTGTCCCCGAGGGCCAGATGAAAGACAGTAAAACTGTCCTGGACTTGGGTGCGGTTGAATTGCCAAAGTTTGATTCCGCAAAATCTAACATTCTCTTACAGCCTCAAAGTGTTGTGTTTTCTGATAAAGAAAATATTCCTGTCCATTCCTCCCTTTCAAATATCAGAGACCTTTTTCAGTTTGCTATTTCTGATGAGGAAACTCCAAATGAATTTAAGAGTATTCCTTTACCCCCTACTGGCTCCATAACCACTTTTAGAGAACCCCTAATTCCAGAAACATTTCATCATGCCTCACAAATTGCACTTGATCCTGAAGTTATTGTTGTGGGAGAACAGTCAGTGGTATCTGGCTCAGTTGTTATGGATGAGGAAGTTATGTTGCAAAAGGTCGACGAGAAATGCAGTGATGAGGAACCAAAACTATCAAATCAAGACATGTCTAAAGCTGAAAGTAAAAGTCCTTCTGCTGCTATACCTTCTTCCACTAACAGCACTGACATTGTCAAGCAAGGTTTAGTAGAAAATTATTTTGGCTCTCAAAGTAGCACTGATATTTCTGACATTAGCCCTGCAGAGGATTGCAAGTATGCCAGTTCTGCCAAGGAGACTGTAAAGTTGCAGCCAGTTGGCCCATTGCTTCAGGAGGATGAGGAGGATGATGATGAGGAACAAGATGAAGAGATGATTGAGAATGGCTACTATGAAGAGACAGATGGCCCATTATACAAATCTGATGATCCTGAATGTGAAGTTATCCATGATTCTGCACATGACAAGTATTTGAGGTCTGAGAGGATTGGTTCTGAATATTTAAAAGATTCACTCAACATGCCTGGTGTTTGTTCAACCAGTTGTCTATCCTTTTCATATACATTGAAAGACTCCCCTCATGGAACTGTTTTTACTGCGAGGGCACACACTTGACACTATAACAAAGCAACCAGGGGGTGCAATGTTTGGATCATACTCATCGTCTCTTGCTTGGTATGAAAGCTGTCCAAAGCCTTTAATGCTAGCGTGAGTAACATTTATATTTATCGAAATATTTTTTTTAATTTTTACAATGCAGTTTAAGGGCTAAAAACCGAAATGCTACATTTCAAAAAGAAATACAAGACTGCCAAAATATATGCTTGAAATGGGCACAAACTGATTATTTTAGGTAAACCTGTAGTGATAAAAATATAGTAAACCTGACACCCCTTTAATCCCTGGTCTACCTCAAACTTCCTATCCAAAAAAAAAGTCAAAGCATGGCACCCTCTACTACATGGTGCCAAGGTCTCAGTTGACTTATGAGTTTCTGTTATTGCTGCATGGGATGTGATGAGAATGTGACTATGCTCTAGTTCTGGGGTGTTCCTGCGAGCTGATCAAAAAGAAGAGAGGCATGTAATGGTACTTTATAGTTCCTACATTTTAACTGAAGTCCTGATTCATACTATATTTTTTTAACAATACAGGTTCACCTAAAACATCAGTTCTGGGTAAAAAACTGGTAAGTTGAATTTCTATCTGGATTCTTTTAACTCTCTCAAACTCCTGCAGTCGGATATCTGAACCTTAGCTGTACTCACTGGTCTTGTTGCATTAACTTTATTTTACTGAATGTTGTTGCCCTGAATTATTGTCATTGAAATATTGCAGCAGGTTTGGTTGGCCACAAGACATGGCTCAGTTATGGTCAGGATATATAATCTTTTCTGCAATCAAAGTGGAATTTAACTGCATCTGAGCACCACAAACTAAAAACACGAATTTACTTTTTAATACTCAAAACAAACTTGGCCATCCATGTCTCCATGCTTTATTTTGTTGAGAAATCACTTTCAATCCCCCCCCAGCATTTCTAGTTGTGGCCATCTTGAGTAAAGACAGGTGATTCATGTAGCATTTACCGTATTTTCTGGCGTATAAGACAACCCCCTACTTTTCCTGCTAAAATATAGTGTTTGGGCTATACTCGCCATATAAGACTACCCCTCTTCCAATGTACACCAGTGGGAAGAATCGTGCCCCATCATTGGTGTCAGTGGGAGGAATAGTGTCCCATCATTGGTATTAGTGGGAGGAATAGTGTCCCATCATTGGTATTAGTGGGAGGAATAGTGCCCCATCATTGGTGTCAGTGGGAGGAATAGTGCCCCATCATTAGTATCATTGGGGGGAATAGTGCCCCATCATTGGTGTCAGAGCGACGAATCGTGCCCCATCATTGGTGTCAGTGGGAGGAATAGCACCCCATCATTGGTGTCAGTGGGAGGAATAGCACCCCATCATTGGTGTCAGTGGGAGGAATCGTGCCCCATCATTGGTATCAGTGGCAGGAATAGTGCCCCATCATTGGTGTCAGTGGCAGGAATAGAGCCCCATCATTGGTATCAGTGGGAGGAATAGTGCCCCATCATTAGTATCAGTCAGGGGGGAATAGTGCCCCATCTTTGGTGTCAGTGGGAGGAATCGTGCCCCGTCATTGGTGTGTCAGTGGGAGGAATAGTGTCCCATCATTGGTGTCAGTGGGGGAAGGAATAGTGTTCCATCATTGGTGTCAGTGGGGGGTGGAATAGTGCCCCATCGTTGTTGTCAGTGGGGGGGGAGGGGGGAGGAATAGTGCCCCATCGTTGGTGTCAGTGAGAGGAATAATGCCCCATCATTGGTATCAGTGACACCAATGATGGGGCACTATTCCTCCCACTGACACCAATGACACTTGCTGACCCCTGTTCCAGTATGGTACTGCTGCAGCCAGCATATGTGGTTGCAGCAGCACCTCTGCATGGCACACTTACCGGCAGCTCCTTCACTCGATTTTCGCAGGGCCGCTCGGCTCCGCCTCCTCGCCGGTGATTGGCCGCCTGTGTGCCTTACCTGAGCTACAGTTCTGGTGGCCAATCACCGGTGAGGAGGCGGAGCCGAGCAGCCGCGCGAACATCCAGTGGCCGAACTGAATGAAGGAGCAGCCGCGCTTCCTGGACTGGATCGTCGTGGGACCGGAGCCAGGTAAGAAACAGCAGCCCCTGCCCACCCCGGTACTTAGTGTCCCTTCCGTTGGAAGGGGGGGGGGGCGGCGGCGGCACCGCACCGCCCCCCTAAAAAGTGTCAGCATGCCGTATACCGGCGTATAAGACGACCCCCGATTTTTTGAGAAGATTTTCAAGGGGTAAAAAGTCGTCTTATACGCCGGAAAATACGGTACTTCTGGAATCCATCTGCTCTTAGGTCAGGCATGCGGGCAGGAGGGTGTACTTATCTGAGAAAGCCCCTCCTCCAGATAAAAGGGGAAAAAATGCCCATGAAGACTTTTGGGATTTATGAAATCATTTCAGCCAGAAACCTGAAAGCAACTGCAAAAATGTAAAAAGTTTAAAACAAGTAAATATAATATACCTTTCTATCTACAGTATTTACTAAATGTTTATTCCAGTTTCTTAGTTTGGAGAAATTGCATCTTTCCTTTATATTTTTTCCATATTTCTAATATATATTTTTTTTGTGTAGGTTCCTTCAGGCCAAAGAAGAATTAAAGCAATTAAAACTCCCTGGGTTTTTGTATAGTGATGTACCTCAGTTGGCTTCCACAGTTCCATACTTCAGTGTGGAGGAAGACGACTGTTCTGATGAGGGAATCCATTTGATTGTGTGTGTTCATGGGCTAGATGGTAAATATTGCATATTGTGAGAAGGATGTGTTAAAGTGGAATTAAATCTCTGCCACAAATGTTTCTTTGTTGGGCCCCAGGAGCTTTTTGTCATATTGTGCTAGTGACCCCCCAGTGCTGCACTGTGTTCTCGTCAGTCTTAGGCGCTGCCTCCTTCTCCTTTTTTTTTTTTTTTTTTTTTTTTTTTTTTTTTTTACTTTATGTGAAAAGATGGATAAATTGATACTTGAATATCAGTCACTGGTATCTAAAGAAAAATGTTTCATGATTTTTAAGGATGATCATGAAGTAAGCATGAGGAATGTTAAGTTTATTTTTAACTTGTATAGCACCATAATCATTGTGCAGAATTAGGACGCCACTACCCAGTCTGGTTCCACATGATTTGATGGCCAGAAGAAACTATTTGGAGAAGATCAAGTAATATAGGAATAACAAGCACTTTTGACTGTCTCATAAAATGAACATTACACTTTTAGTACAGTTATTCTTAAACTTTTGTCCACGATCCACATAGATCTTGGATGTGGGTTTGCTGGGTGCTGCACAGCCAGTTCAAGAACAGGACAAAAGGTTACATTAGATGAATTACATTTAAATGTCAATTACATTTCTTTCCTATATGACTTTTTGGTATGTATGTTTAACTTGCATATTCCTAGTAACTGACACACATTCTGTAGTAGTTATGCAAAAGGTACCTAGCCTGTGAAAAACCTTGAGGTCTCAGTTGCATGTAATTGGAGGTTTCCCTATTACTCGCAAAAAAGTATTGGACCTCATAGGAGGACTATAACCAGGCCTCTGAAAGTTTAATATCAAAGTCTACAGAGAGAAAAAGTGTAAGGCAGCTCATCAAATTATAAAAAGCAAAAGGCACCCAGTTTTACACTATTGCTGTGCAAGCATTGTCACAACACAGCAAACACTTATTTTTTAAAACTACTTTTTTTAATGTCTTATCTCTGTGTAGGCAATAGTGCTGACCTCCGCTTGGTAAGAACATACATAGAACTTGGACTACCTGGAGGGCGAAAGGATTTCCTTATGTCGGAGAGGAATCAGGTATGAAAGAAGCATACATTTAACATATCAGTAAATACTACCACTACCCCTTTTAAAGGGACTATTTTCTCTACAGGTTGCAATTTTTTAGGTTTGCGGTATAACATAAAGTGCATGCTAGTATAAGGCACGCAAGCCATAATGTAGGGCATTCATTGTTTTCTTGCTGCTGTTCTTATAAATTACAGAGTTGTATTTTAGCACAAAGTATTCATCAAAATGATATTTCATCAACCAAGAATTGCTGTTCTCAACCAGCCCTTAGATATTGTTTATTGCTCTTACAATGTATGTTGTGTGGCAATTCTGTGTAACCTTTTAATTGTGGTATACCTGAAATATGTGAGCAGATTTTAATAAGCAATTAAAGGTACTGATAATACAATAATATAGTAAATGTAGTTATATTACATGTGCCAGTAGCATACAATATGAATCTGCAATAAAGAAACAAAATATATGTTTTGTTTTTTTTTTCAGAAAAACCGTTAGTGTTACTAAACCCATAACCCTGCATTCACTATATTGGGTCTTCCACAGTACACAGAACATGGAAATGCAATTATTTTAGTAAATATAAACTGCTAAATACCTTTTCTCATCAGCATTTGGAGCAGTCATGTGACTTCTATCAGTGTCCAGCAGAGCACTGGTTCAATCTTGTAGGAGGAGTTTTCATTCTCCCCTGATTGTCCTATGTGGCTTCAGGACCCCTGACGCTCTGTCTGAACAGTGCTGATTGGCCTTGTGCTGATCACATGCACTCTCCTAAGAAGAAAAAAACTCTGTAGCAATACATACCAAACTGAGCATGTGCAGCTTGCCCCCAAGGCTCTGCTCCATCAGGAGATGGATTGGAGCCATCAGAAGCACACTGGCGTTTTAATAACTCTGGTAATGTTAGCTGTGTAAAGTCACGTTAAAAACTTGAGTTTTTTAGCCGTTTTGTATTAGCATTTTGCCAGGTTTTTTTCGCGTTTTTGTGGTTTTTAGAGTTTTTTTGTGGGTCAAAAAAACATCCAAAATGCTGGTTTACTGCGTTGTTCAGCGTTAGAGCGTTTTTACAGCTGATAAACTCCTCTAGAAACCCACTAGTTCTGGGGGGGTTTCCAGCCTAAAAACACCCCTCCAAAAAACATTGATTACAGTCTATGTGTGCATGGACAAATAGGATAACATGCTGGGGAGTTTACTGGCTGTATAAAAAAACATCAAAAGCCAAAAACAGCAGCTGTAAAAACGTCTAGTGTGCATGAGGACAAAGAAGCGGAGGATCAGAGAAGACAGGATCAAATATCCTTTTGACACAATGCAGAGGATTAACCCCTTAGCTTCCACAGTGAGTATAACAAGCATGCTTTACTACATATATAGATATAACAACAGGGGAGCATGAGGCCATATAACTTTATCAATATTGCTGGACGTATTTTTTCTGCCAAGTAACCAAAAACAGACCGCAAAAAAAGAGGGGTGTGAAAAAGAATTCACAAGAAAAAGCGGTTACATTATGGATAGAAAATGATACCCAACGATTTATCAAAATATTATGCTTTTTTGCAAATTCTGCACATATTTAAAACATTTTCGGTAAATACCACAGTTAGCCATCACCACAAGATGAGACAATGCCAAAAAGCTAAAACAAAAATTTATAAAAGGACATCATGACTGGCCATGTATATGATTGTGCTGTAAAGACAACGACACAAGGTCTTGTGTATATACAGCCCAGGCACATTGGAAAATACCACCATATAGGGGATGTACACAATTAATCTGAATACATAAGACTGTGCATCAGAATTGCAATGCAAAACATTGGTACCAATGGAATATATGAACCGAGGAGCCCTTATATAACCTGATTTTACTATTGTGGGTATAGTAACACTTTAACAGATTTCTGCAGTGATCCCATATACAGAAATCATCAGAAGATGGCATAATATCTTCTGATTTTATTCCCCAGAATGATACATTTGCTGACTTTGATTCAATGACAGATCGTCTTCTGGATGAAATTATACAGTATATTCAGATCTACAATCTGACTATTTCAAGGATCAGGTAAGAGTCATGTCATTGTGGATTTGTAAACACAATATTTGTAACATAATTGCTGTGGCATATTTTAGTAGCTGAAAGATGCATATTTTCAAAATGTTACATAAATGTTTTGAAAGGTTAGCTACACTTTTAGAAAATTAGCTCTTTTAACATATCCTGGGATCTCAAGCAGTTCTACAAGCCTAACCGGTTACTTCTGACTTTGCTTTCCTTGTGTTTTATCTGTTGTCCCAAGTGTAGGGTAGAGTAAATATTGTATCCTAATCCTACAGTACAGGTTACAGGACTGGTATTAATAGAGCAGTGTTTCTCATCATTTTTTTCAGTCATTGCAACCCTTACAATTATGCACAATCTCAGGGTACACCAGTCAAAAATGTAAAAAGTTACTTACCATCAATGAAAAACCTGAGCCTGGGATAATACACACAACCACTCTGTTCTGGCAGGAATGGATGAGAGGCAGACACGGAGCTCCTGGTCCACAACCCTTAGGCTCATCCCATACAGATTACAATCTGATCATACAATCTCTGTACAAGCAACTTTAGGCCTTCCAAAAGTATGAAATATGAGGACCTACCTAATCTGTCTGATCAATCTGTATTCAGTCACACAGGCCCTTGCTTTATATACTTGTTGGTAGATCTAAAGGGGATTCTATTCTCAGATTGTAATGTGTGTAGTGTGAATTTAAGTCACAGAGTTCAGTGGTCAGCAGTTTGTAATACAGGATTTAGTGGTCAGTTTGTGACACAAAATTCATAGGACAGTAGTTTGTGTGACAACCTACTGTCCCTAGAACTCTGCATCACAATACTCTTCTCACTTGTATTTTGGGCTTTCTTCAATTTGGTCTTCACCAGCATCAGGCTCTTAGTACCCCCAAGAGAGAGGTTTCTGCCTTACATATCCTTTTCCAGAGACTCCTTGGTTCTTAATCCCTTTGCAGAGAGTTGCTGATGTGATTCACTCAATTCAACCTTCTTTGTCATCTTGGGATCCTCCACCTGGTGCTCTCTGCTTTTCAGAGACCCCTGATAGAACTAATTAGGGACATTCCATTGGAAGACTTCACCATTAAGGGTGCCGTCTTGGTTTGCATCACATCTGTTAAGCATGTTTCTGAGTTAGCAGCTCTATCCTAACTGCTTTCCTGCCGCCCTATAGCAGATATACTGCAACAGGGCGGCAGGGGTGCGCAAAATCCCGTGTATATATACGTGATTTTGCATTTCCGGGATTTTGCTATTTGCGGCCTCGGCTGTCAATCACTGGGTCCCAGCAGGTGATTACTTGCAGGAAGGGGTTAACGTGGGGCAATCAAAGGGTTAACTGTGTGCTGTTTTACTGTAAGCTGTGTGTGTGTTTTCAACTGTAAGCACACTGCTTTGTATGGCTCGGTTATGCAGAGCCATACAAAGCAGTGTGTAGGAGCCGACAGGGGAGAGAACTGTATTGTTTACACACAGTTCTCTCCCCCTGTCGGTAATGCTTGGCGATCACTGGATGCCGGCGAGCAGTCACTGGCCGGGACCCGGTGATTGACAACTGAGGCCTTGAATAGCGGCGTGGGTAGGGCACGTGCACCCCCTACCCGGAAAGGCAAAATCCCATATATATACATGATTTTGCGCACCCCTGCCGCCCTGTAGCAGTATATCTGCTATAGGGCGACGGGAAAGCGATTAACCTTTTCTGTATATATACTATTCCTGCAAGCAAGGAGTTTGAATAAAGAAGGCATCTCCTGCACATACATGTTTGATTTTATGCCTTAACGATGTCGAGCTATAAATGATTATTTTCTTACAGCATTTGAATATATTTTTATATTAACCTCCCGTAATCTTCTGTACAGAAGCAATCCAGTCAGGCTCTGCTACACTTGTACTGACAAAAAAAAAAAGAGTAGAATGAACAATGGCTATTCATCGCCATGCTGCCTTTTCTTGATTTTTAAGTCAGAAGGTTCTTGACCAAAATGCTTCTGCAGTTGGAGTCAAGGATCTGGCTAAGCTTTCTTGCAGGGATGCCTGAATCACAAGACTATCTGCACAGGATTACTGATCTTTTGGCTGATAAAAGGGTTTTATATCTTATTTAAACTGTGTGTTTTTGCTTTTTACATGAAGTGCAGCTTAAAGTTGATCTGCTGACATTATTCAGTGTTGTGTTTCTAAAATGTTGTTTTATTTTCTAAATTGTGAAAGTGTACAAGATTTTAGATTTGGTTGTAGCTGTATGCCAGAACCACTGGCAGCATATACATTTTAACATACATGTTTCCTTTTAGCTTTATAGGACACTCCTTGGGGAATTTAATTATACGATCAGTTATTTCACGGCCAAGGTTCAAATGTTATCTTAGCAAGCTGCACACTTTTCTTTCCCTATCTGGTCCACATCTGGGTACACTCTACAACAGCAGTGCTCTTGTCAACACAGGTAAGAAAAAAAAAAGTTGTGTACACACAAGAAGCACCTGTTTCTTTCTCTTTTCATGCTATGCTATGCTGGGATGGTAGGAGAAATTCAAGAAATGGGAATTCCACCTCACCTCGTGGCTATCATTATATGAAGCCAGTACTTTACATTGATTCACTGGGCTCATTTAATCATTCCATGCTGATATTTCTATGGCTATTCGCACCGGTAGACCTCCACTGATGCCTCCAGAGTCTCAAGAGTAAGCAACTTGAAAAGATAAACCAGTCCCTGGAAATCATCAGGCTGTCTTTCCTTCTTTTTATAGCTATAAATGTACACATCTGAGTGAACCTAGTGAAAATCTTTAAGGAAAGATCTTTGTGTTTGGATTGTAACTGCATGTCTGTCTCCTCAAGTATGCATAACAAGCTGTAGAAGCAGTGTTGTTACTTTCATGTTAGATTGTGGAAAAACCAATAGAAAGAGAGGTTATATATAGTATATCTGGTTACTTTCCTTTACATCATTTAAATCTTTTGTGATTTTAAACAGACCTGTGGTTACTGGACTATTTGGAATCTGAAAGTTCACTTCTGTAAGAAAAAGAAATCACAATTTATGAATAAGCCTTGCAACTGGTATGACGTTTTTGGCACTAATGTATATTGTTTGTATTGCAGGCTTGTGGTTCATGCAGAAATGGAAAAAATCTGGCTCATTATTACAGCTGACTTGTCGTGACAATTCAGATCCCCGACAAACCTTCCTGTACAAACTTAGCAAGAAACCAGGTACTTTTTGGTTTAAAAGAAACTTCCAAGCCATTTTTAAATGTGCAAAATGTGCCTTTTTGAAACTAGTTTAATCTGTTGTCACCGATGTAACACAACTGCAACAGCAAAAGGGTGGCCTTTAACTCCGACTGTCTGCGCATATGCATCTGCGCTGAGAGTGCACTCACTGCATGCTCCCAGCACTAAGACTGAGCTGAACCAAAGTTCAGTTGGAATTTAAGCCCATATTATTTTTGTATTATTATTGCTAGGGTTCTGACATCAGCACTATGCCCTACCAACTCCCTTTTTCATATAAAAACACAAAACAGAAGTGTGCAAAGGCCTAGTGCATTATGGTCAACACTTTATTAGAAAATAAACAGGTGAGTACTTACACACAAGAACCAAAGGTAAAACCAGCATAGGGCATAAATCCACTAAACAGAATGGTCTTCCAGAGGATTAAACTAACATGGTCCTAACATGAGTCAAACTGTCAGATGATGTGTTTTGAGGGACTTGCCTCTTTAGAGCTTTTTTTGTTCTGAAGAAGAGGACGTGTCCCTCAAAACATGTCTGATGATAATTTGACTCATGTTAGGTCCATGTTAATTTCAGCCTCTGGAAGACCATTCTGTTTCCTGGGTATATGTACTACGCTGGTTTTACCTATGTTTTTATTTTCTAATAAAGTGTTGACCAAAATGTACTATGCCTTTACGCCCTTCTGTTTTGTTTGTGTTGTTTCAAGATTCCCAAAACTTAAAAGGGCAGCACTGGTGGATCACTTCTGTCTTGTTTGAGAACTGATGGTCACCACCCACTACAGTCTGTATGGTTTTTCAAGAATCTTTGTGCTACTATGTCAAGGTTTTGTTCTTTGATGTGTGAAGCCCCATTTCCCTGTATAGTGAGTGAACCCATAATGGCCACTGAATATCCCTTTCTGAAGAGAGAGAAGTCAATTGTTGTGGCTTACCACTAAAGGTGGGAAAGTACAGCTCAAGTAATAAAGGTAAACTTGTTCAGTAGAGGGTCTCTTGCATGTTTGGCAAAGAGCGATTGATTGAAATAAATTTTTTATTCATATTCCCAACTGGTTCTCCCTAAATCTAAAGGAGGGATTGGGCTCCCTGACCTACAGCGTTATCACTGGGCTTGCCATTTTTCCAGAATTATAGATTGGCATGCTCATTCGACCACCAAAGCTTGGGTGCATTTAGAGAACTAATTTTTCCCCTTCCCCATAGCATCTGGCAAAGCATACACCTCAGGCCCTCCTCACACATCCATTGTTGGGACCTACTCTGAAAATCTTCCGTCTGACCTGCAAGTTGGCCTCCATTTTGTACGCTCCTAACCCCCTAACCTCTCTCCGCCTAAACCCCGACTTCCCTCCAGGCATGCACAAGGCCTTTCTGTCCAAACATTGGCCACATAGCCAGATGTAAGCAGAACACTTTTTCCAAAAAGGCCAATTGAAACCCTACTCTTCGTTGGTGGGCAGCATGAGAGATCATACTTTCCCCTTTTGGGCTTACCTCCAAATTAGGCATTTTCTGCAAACGCATGAACACCATCACAAATGGACTCGTCCTCTTACCCCTTTGAATCTATTTACTCTAAAGCTGAACCCCAGAGGCATCTGATTTCATTAGTTTTCCCCCTCCTAGTTGGCGGTGGGAACCATGACTCTTTCCCCCCCCCCCCCTTCCTCATGGAGCAGGGACCTGGAAACAGATTTCTCCCCTTCGGACTGGGACCAAATATTTACATACTCCCACAAATGCTCGTTGAATGTATCCACGCAAGAAAACGGCTACAAACTGGCCTCCCGTTGGTACCGTACCCCCTCAAGAATCCATTGCTACAATCCCTCTCTCCTCAACAAATGTTGGAGGTGTGGGGCACCTGATGGGTCTCTTCTCCATATCTGGTGGTCTTGCCCAATTATCCAGCCCTTCTGGCAGGAGGTTCACAAGATAACCTCGTCAGTATCTACTTTACCCCTCGATTTCTCTCCGGCCCAATTCCTCCTTCACTATTCCTCCCTTCCCAGATGCCTTTATTTTAAATCACTTGCTATGCATATGCTCAACGCGGCTAGACTCTGTTTCCCTGTTCTATGGGGATCCACCCACCCTCCTTCAATACGAGACTGGCTCACACATTTGGGAAAAGTTGCCGAGATGGAAGAGCTGATTGCCTCATCACAAGATAACCCAACCTAATTCTCCCATATCTGGTCTTGCTGGATTCACTTTCAAACGACCCCTGAATTTCATTCCCTTATGGGTCTCCCAACTGTCTGATACATGTTTCTACCCTCTTCGGGGTTGCTTTTAGTTGTCATGTCCTTGGAACCTTCACACCGGCATTATGCCTGCCTATACCGCCCCCTCCCCCTCTGATCTTCAGTGCCTTCGCCCTTGACGTGACTGTCGCCTCTTCTAATTGTCTATCACGAACATCAGTGATATTATGTATGACATGCGATCTTTGTCTTTGTTTGTTTACCTAACCATCTCTTTTATATATGGCTTTTGTTCATTGTTTTACAATGCTTTTTCCTTTTTTTATTTTTACCACACTTTATCGCTTCGTACTAAGTGTATATTTTTTATGCTATGTACTTTAGTAATAAACTTTATGGGAAAAAAAAAAAAGAAATAAGTTTTAAGCAGATGCTATATTTTGTGTTTCAAAATGTGTGAAGAATGCAGTGATCACAGCACACTATGTGTATCATTGTTGCTTGTTAACTTTTGGGTGAATCTTTGTGCAGATATGATTTCTTAGAACAGTATTTTTTTTCAACAGCTATGTAGTGTGAGGGCCTACCAGAGATATCTATTAACTGGGTGCGCAAAATAGTGTATATACGAGATTTTGCATTTCCGGGTAGGGGGCATGTGCCCTACCTGCGCCGCTATTTGCAGCCTTGGCTGTCAATCACCGGGCCCTGGCCAGTGATTACTCGCCAGCACCAGGTGATCAAGGAGCATTACCGACGGAGGGAGAGAACTGTAAGTAAACAATACAGTTCTCTCCCCTGTCAGCTCCAGCACACTGTTTTGCATGGCTCTGCATAGCAGAACCATGCAAAGCAGTGTGCTTACAGTTGAAAGCACACACACAGCACACAGTTAACCCTTTGATCGCCCCACATGTTAACCCCTTCCTGCCCAGTGCCATTAGTACAGTGTCAGTGCTTTTTATTAGCACTGATTACTGTATTGGTGTCACTGGGGATGTCAGTGACACCAAGTCAGTTCCCCCCAGTGTCAGAATGCCCACAGCAGTCCCGATATAAGTCGCTGATCGCCGCCATTACTAGTAAAAAAAAAAAAATCCCAGTATATATACTGCCATTTGTAAATGCTAGAACTTTCACGTAAACCAATTAATTTACACATATTGGGATTTTTTTTTAGCAAAGACATGTAGCAGAATACTTTTTTTTTTTTATAGCGCAAAAAAAAAAAACACACAGGTGATCAAATACCACTGAAAGAAAGATCTATTCGTGGGAAAAAAAGGACGTAAATTTAATTTGGGTGCAGCGTTGCATGACTGCGCAATTGTCAGTTTAAAGTAACAGTGCCATACCGCAAAAAATGGCCTGGGAAGGAAGGGGTGTGTAAATCCTCTGAAGGGCAAGTGGTTAAAAAATATCTAAATAGGTAGTCAATCACACCACCGACTATGCTTGAAATGAACACATTATTGTGGCCAGCATTAGAGTGCTCCTTTTTCAGCCCATGCAGTATTTTAAATATGATTTTGTTTTAAAAAAAAAAAAAAAAAAAAAAACTTGTTAATGTTTTATTTTTCTCAGGTCTGGAACACTTCAGAAATGTGGTACTGGTCAGTTCCCTACAGGATCGATACGTCCCCTATCACTCTGCTCGTATTGAAATGTGCAAAACTGCTCTTAAGGACAAACAATCAGGTGGGGTAGCTAACATTGGAGCAGCTCAGTATCTATATTACAGTAAATCTTTTAAAACTCTATAGATATATACTGAATACTCATTCTAGTTAATGCTTGCTACTTTCTAATGCCTATATTTTTCAACTTGCATCTTCCCAAAACCATTATTCAGTTACAGAAATAAGGAAGAAGTATCTGTAAAGTTAAACATACCTTTTGCAGCTCTAGTGCTGAAAGCTTCATAGTAAAGTTTACACAGTAACCTTTTACCCATGCAGCTGCCTGTCTGTCTACTTGCCTGAGTCCCCCAGTTAGTGGGGTACTGCTCTGCTAAGAAGCTCCATCACAGCAAGCAGAGATGGTTAAGGAATTTCACTTTGTAGTATTGTACATCTGGACTGCAAAATAAGGAAATATGTAAAAGGCTCAGCTCTTCACCCTCTATCCGAAGCAAACACAGATGCCCTTGTTTTGTGCAAAGGTGTGAGTGGGGAATTACTTTGCGCATGTTTTGCATTTGTGGCTTAAGGGTGTTTAATGTAAGCCTATACTTAGAGGTTCACTTAAAGCTGCACTCCAGGAAGTGTGTGTGTGCGCGCATCAGCAGCTCTACCTGCCCCTCTGTTGTTCATTTGCAGAAGGTTTGGTATTTTGTGAATGGGTTTACGTAATGCTCTATGATTGGTTAGGAAGAGGGGATGGGCTGGGCAGAGTAACTGCATGTCCCTGCAGCAGCTGGACCTGAGACCAGAAGGTTTAACTCCAGAAGCATAACGATAGCTATGCTGCCAGCATTCAAAAAAGTGTAAGCTGTAAATCAAAGAGATAAGTCCACAAAGTGGCATGCACGTTTTTGACTTGGACTTTGGACCCATAGTAATCTGACAAAAATTTAGAAAGTGGCTGAATTCCTGGAGTACAGATTTCACTGATACTTGTGCTTTGTAGCAGGCACCCCAAGGTGCATACTTTTAAAACACTCCTGCATACAGGCTTTCTGAAAGTTGACAGTCACTACTTTGATGGTTAACTAAATAGGCAACTTTCAACACAGCTGAGAGAGAGACTGCTTTAAAAAGCATATCACCCGTCCCCTACACCCAGCTGGCTCTATAGAGAACTTTAACATGCTATATTTTATACTTATCAGAAATTAGACATTTTCCTTTTAATGATTTTTATTTCTATATTTGACCATAATAATTAAATAAAATAGTTTTCCTTTTAAAGCCCAACTCGGTGCTGGACACCCCTCCCCCCTTGGACCACCCTACCCAATTAAAAAAAAAAAAATGTTTATGTGTACAGTGTTTTTCAGCTGTTCTCAGTGCTCTTCCTCCTCCAACAGTAGGTGGGCTTGAATATTGCATAGAACTGTGTCACATAATGATGTGGTTCTGTTCTGTGAGTACAGGGGAGCTTGATCACACTCCCTAGGAGATGGGTCTTTGACAACTTGGGCTCACAGGAGAGGGTTAAATGGCATCATTAAACTCAGAAGAGGACTGCTGCTGGATCACAGGGAGGGGGACAGCACCAAAGATGTTATAACTACAAAAACAGTTTTTCTTAATCACTGAGGGACACAGGAGTTTTGTAACAGCCAAGTTTTACAACTGCCTACAAGAGGACACAAACCGAAAAGACTACTGTAAGCCAGCTCCTGTAAAATCCCATCTAGCAGTGTTTTTGCTAGTGTTTTGAAGTTGGATGCCTTATCATCAGCTCTGCTGAACAAAGGTTTATTTGTTTGCTAGCCTTCTATATTTGTGATATTGTTTTCCTGTAATGACTTCAAGTTTCTTGATTTATCGCTGATAATTTTTTCCACAGGAACTTTACTATATAGAGACTAGCTAAAGCAGTGATGTGGAAATCTAAAGTGGCTACCCAGATCAGCTTACCTTTGGTAATAGCTTTGGAGGCTGTAACTGGACCCTGCTGGATTGAAAGATTGCGAGGCTAGCCTGAAATATGACTACTGGGCTCTGTATTATGGTGCTTCACAGATCTTTGTTTACTATTAGCTGCAGAATGCTTTGCAGTCTAAAGCCATGGCACAGTCCATGATACAACCCTTTCTCTGAAGGCTAACAGAGTCAGTAAGGCTGGTCACAGTTGGAATCGCTAGATGCATTTTTCTTTTTCTGCCACTGCAGGTTTTACCATGTTTGAGGGAGCAAAATAGTGATGTCATCTGCTATGCGGATAGTCCCAATCCAACTGGTGACCTTAGTCCATATTCACCTACTGTTTCTGGAGGCATTTAATTGGTATCTCTGGAGGAAACCAAGACTTATAATGTAGAACCTGGTTTCCTTTTTCAATATAAGGTCATCCTGATGGGAGTTGTTTTCAGCTCAACCAGGCAAGGATGAGGTCTCCCCTTGGTCCACAGGGACCTCTGTGGTCTCTGTGCCCAGCTACTACTGCAATCATCACACAGAGGCTCTAAGCATGTTCAGGCACCATCCTTGCCAGAGTCTAGCTTTGACCTATCTGAGCCTTCAACCCAAAGGGTATACTAGGCCCCTATTACCATCTCTTGCTCTGAGTCCTCAGTCTTCTCCTATAAACGCTGTTTTTGAGCCATCTGCAAATTATTAAAATTTTCAGGATGTTGTTTTTATATTTCAATGTTTTTTTATTAATTTTAAACCGTATAAAACACAGGCAACAAAATACGCAAGATGTTGTTTTTAACCTGATTGATGTAGTAGGTGCTACTCTGTATTTCGATCGACTTTCTGTTTTGGGCTTGTGGTCTTTGATAGTGCTCGCAGCTTCAAAACCTTTTAGTTACACCCACAAGTCATTCCTGTATGGGGACTAGAAACACCCTGTAGTATCCTGGGCCCCTCCAGAGAATGTAGTGTTTCTTTTTCGTTTTGAGAGGTAATTTATTGCTCCTTGATCTCTCCCCACTGTAGATGCTCCGGTAATTCACGATAAAAGGTATACTACCAAAGAAATTAATGGTGGTTTCACCTTTCGGGATTTCATGACAGTTGGGTTCGCCCACTTAGATTCCAGTTTGAATTAAATTAAATGACTCTCCCACTTTGTATTGATGGTGACCTTGATTTGTAAAACTGTCAATCTGGGGTAAATCCTGTAATAATTACTGCAATTCTAAGGTAGGCCCTTGTTTCATTCAGCGCTTGGTGCAAATTTCTGAAGCTTTGCACTTCAGCTGCGATAGCCTGTTGTAAACATCTAAGCTTTTCTCTCACATGTAGCTGATGTCCTTTCACAAGCATAGTGCACTTTGGCTACATGCCCAGGATACCTATGGAATGTCTCACTCAATTGTTCTCTGATTGAAGTCGCCTTTTCGGGCTTACACTTGACATCATCAATAGCAATGCTCTTGGTGTTTGAAGTACTGTATATTCCTGCCTGAATGCAGGAGATCAGTGGAAGGAGTTGTATAGCAGTAGTAGCACAATAGACAGAACCTTCCTCCCAGTTAAAGTGGAACTGAAGTCTTTTTTACAACAGCAGGCAGGCAATTTTCAGGGAAGAGAAATGCAATGTCTCTTCTGCGATAAAATATACATGCCTGATGTATACTGAGCTGCACATGCACAGCTCCACTTTCATCGCTGGCATGAGTCCCTGTGTGCCTGGAAGACGTGACTCCTGCATGTGTACAGAAGTTGCATCATCCTGCACCGGCCAATGAAGAGGCCAACGCCAGCTAGTGATCCAGACCATTAGAGAGGAATTGAGTATAATGTGTATTTACTTCCACTTTAAGCTTGAGAGCTCAAATCCAGAGGTGCTCTAACCCCCTCTGCTCAGCCTCATGCAACAAGGTTGCATCCCAACTTCTAGGGTCTTCAGTTAATTGCTTCTCTAACACTTGGTTGCTCTGGTCACCCCTGGTGTCTTTCAGTCTAGTACCTGGAAATGGGCATTTCCTTCAGTTGTCCCTCTTCACTGTTCTGTCTTTCCTGCATCCCATTTGCTTCTTCCCTAATCTGTCTGTGTTCCTCGCATCCTGAGACCTTACATTCCTACTTCAGTAGGAACCAATCCTTGAGAACGATATCAAACTATAACTCTTCACTACTTTCCACAGGGAACTCTTTCCCTCAGAGCTGGTTTTGTCCTGTCCTGTGGTACCATTAATGTGAAAACGAAAGCCATTTAGTTTTAGTCCTCTAAACCTCTTCACTGTGTGTAGAAGACTTTTCCCCATCTTCCCCTTTCCATGCTTTTGTGATTGCAGGGGGATGCTTGTCTAATATGGTCTGTGTTCCTGTTGAACTCTTCCTCTGTGTTTATTGAGTCTGCTCTCCGGATAGCACATTATGACCTTTTTTTGGACTTAGAATTTGTGGGTGCTGCATGCCAGTTTCTAAGTGGGTGGTTGGGATGCTTTCACCCCCCCCTGCTCTGGATAAACCCCTCTGATGTGCAAATTCTGTTTGCTGGCCCTGCAGTATGGTTCCCGGGAAACACGGTTCCTTAATTGCTGGGGCGGGGGTGTGTATTTGGGTTGGTGTTATGACTTGTCAATCACTGTATATCACCTAGAATGCTGTAGGAACTTCACCTCCAAAAGGTTTGGAAATTCTTCCTCTGACAGGTTTCGTGACCTACTCCCCACACTAAGTAGTGTTGAGGTGTTAGTCTAGAGCCAAGGTGTGGCCTTCTGGATCCTCTATATGGATGATCTCTGTTAAACAGCGAGGGTTCAGCACTTGGGCGCTGTCTGTTCTTGCTTGTAGGAAAGTATCTATCTTGCGCGTTCATTTCTTCTCTGGACAGTCTGCAGACAGAGCTCACTGAGACCCTGCTGCAGATTTTCTGGGGGAATAGCATAAGTCTTCAGTTAAGTCTACAGGCATTCATGGGACCTGATTATCGAGAGATAAGTCCTCCTTCTGCAGCTGTGCTGTAGATGCTTTCCTTTCTGCTGTGCTTAATCAGGCAGAAGTTTCTGCTAGCAGCAGTAGGTTTCCTACTACCCTCAGATGCAAGTTTTATTCATTTTTAGAATCCTGTAATTG